GAGAGAGAGAGAGAGAGAGAGAGAGAGAGAGAGAGAGAGAGAGAGAGAGAGAGAGAGAGAGAGAGAGATCTGCTCTATCGGGGTAATTTCTATGTAGTTGAGAAGTTATGTGCTGTCGTGCATGGTCGGGGTATTTGTGCATTGTCTTTTTTTGTTGTTTTTTTTGTCAGATTTTTGAGAGAGAGCAGGTTTGTTGTTGTTGCCGGTTGTATGGGGGAGGGAGTGTGCAAAAAGAAATAGCGCGGCTGTTTATGTAGGGTATGATTTCGAGTACGATGGTGATTACTGAACTCCGATCGGCGGCCATGACCAGCCGCAAACAGCGAATTCGAATCCTCATTTGCATTCCCTTGTCTAGAGCCCGGCATCTCTTGACAAGATGTAGAAGTCTTTTCTCGTTCTCTCTCTCTCTCTCTCTCTCTCTCTCTCTCTCTTGCTTGTGTCTTTCTCATGCCGCAACGGGTCTCCTCTCTCATCTCTCTTTCTCTGTCTCCGCATTTTCTGTGTGTTTATTTTCATTCGCTGAATCATTACGAATGGAGACAGCCAGTCTTTCAGTTGGTAATACGTCGATGATTCACTTTTTGACGTCAGCCTTTTTCATTCCAGGTGTCGGTGATTCCGCACCCCTGCTGCCCCTGCCCGTTCTCTCCCCCCTCCCCCTTCTCTCCCTCCCCCACCCCGCGCCCTCCGCTCTGGCGTCAGGCTCTCCCCGGTAAGGTGGAAGGCGCGGACGCTAAATCCTTACATTACCTGGCATACAATGATTTGATGATTTGTTTTAATAATTTTGTTTTAATAATTTGATGCAGTCCGGATTTGTTTTAATAATTTGATGCAGTCCGGATTGAAGCTAAGTTGCGTGGTTGCGGCGATGCTTCGCCCCCTCCCCGCCCCCCTTCCTCCCCCTCCTTCTCCCCCCCCCTTTCCCCCCCCTCATAATGGATATCTATCCTGGAAAGGTCTGTTTGTCAGACAGATATGGAATGGGTGAAGCGTTGCATGTCCGGATGATATCCTACTGGCATCATATGTCCTGCCTCCACTTGTTTATCCGTTTGCCACGTGGCTGACACCGTGTCAATCAATTCCCTCTGTGTCCTTCTTCGTTCCTTCCTCTGTCTGCCCTGCGTCTCTTTTGCCCCTTCCTCTCTCTCTCCCCCCGTTTTTCCTCTCCTCTTTTCTCGCTCACCTTCGGTCTTCAAGCGTCTCTGAACGTGATGTAATTGACTACGCTGGAGACTGTGTGCTTTAGCGGGGAGTGCTGTTCATTCTTCCCATTAGAGCAGTGGAGTAGGTCGGCGAAATCTCCTTACACAGAAGAATCAAACGTGCAGAGTATAGTGAGTAGTGCAGAGAATAGTGGGCGAATCTACTTGCAGAAAATAGAGAAAAAAATGCAGAGAATAGTCGAAAGTTGAAACAATATAGTGAAAAGTGGAGAGAATAGCGGAAACTGCAGAGAATAGTGGACGAATCTACTTGCAGAGAATAGAGAAAAGGACAAAATAGACAAAAGATGAAATAGTAGTGAAAAGTGAAGAGAATAGTGGACGAATCTATTGCAGAAAATAGAGAAAAGTTCAGAGAATAGTGGACGAATCTATTGCAGAAAATAGAGAAAAGTGCAGAGAAGAGTGGACGAATCTACTTGCAAAAAATAAAGAAAAGTGCAGAATCTACTTGCAGAAAATAGAGAAAAGTGCAGAGAATAGTGGACGAATCTACTTGCAGAAAATAGAGAAAAGTGCAGAGAATAGTGGACGAATCGACTTGCAGAAAATAGAGAAAAGTGCAGAGAATAGTGGACGAATCTACTTGCAGGAAATAGAGAAAAAGTGCAGAGAATAGTCAAAAGATGAAGCAGTATTGTGAAAAGTGAAGAGAACAGCGGAAAGTGCAGAGAATAGTGGACGATTCTACTTGCAGAGAATAGCGGACAGTGCAGAATAGTGAAAAAAGTTTAGCATTCTATCTCTATCTAGACAAGTTACTCAGAAAGCATCATGCTGTCCATCGCCATCGTCTCTTCTTCTCGCTGTCTTCGTCATCCCCCCTGTTCTCCTATTCTCTCGTCCGGGCTCTCAGGTTCTCTGCATCCCAACTGGTCATGGGGGTAACGCTAGATGCTCTGCACTTAACCAGCGAATGGATTTTATATCCTCCACGTCAGCAGTGAATAGGATGTTGCATGAGGAGCAAAAGATGCATAAGGAGCAAAAGATACACCATTTTTAGATGCCATAAGCATACTAGTACTACCGTATTACTGTATATTTGGAGTGAACAGGTTGTTGTATAAGTAGCAAAATGGGGGTCTGCGTAGGTCGTGACGAATGACTACCGTCTTCCCCCACAACGCACCCTCATTTTGAATGTACCTGGCCGGAAATGTAACTCGTATACATTCATTTTTAGGGTGCGTTATGTTCGGGGGAAAACGGTAGGCATTTCTTCTGTCCTAAAGGAGGAAAGAAAAAAGAGGAGCAACGAGTTATATACATGAGCCGTAAGCATTGCAAAATGCAAAACATTGCACAGTCGGCATATGGCGCATGTCATACAAGTATATGTCGTCATTATTGCGTGCGTCATTATTATTTATGAGTGCCTACTACTACTACTGCTACTACTGAGGGCGTGCTCGCACTAACGCTATCTTAAATGTACACTGACCGCATTTACGGCCGGATTTGTATGAATCTGGCCGCAATTTCTTCTACATGTTAAAAAAAAAAAAGGTAGTGCGAGTATGCCCTGACTGTAGAGGTTGCTGCGCTGCTTCAATGAGATCATTGCTTATGGTTCTCCAAGTCGTCGTTTGCTAAAAAAAATAAAAATAAAAAAATCATTATCTGGCAAGTGTTTATTTGCCCCAAGTCATTATTTTGCCCCAGGTCATCATTTGGCCCCAAGTCATCAGTTGTCTAAGTTATTACTCAGTATTTGCCAAGCAACTACCGGTAGGCTACCGGAGTGGCCCGGGCCCACTTGCCCGGCCGGGCCCCAAAAAAAAATAAAAATAAAAATGAAGAAGTATGTTTTGATTTTGATTTGTAATTTTAATTTGGTAATGAATTTCGATTTCACCCTGAGGCAAAAGTTGTTCAGGTTATTTTTCTGCATAACATTTCTTTTCCCCAGATCTTTTGTTTTATTTTTTTGTTTCTTTTGCAGCGACCTTCCTTGGCCCTTGGCCCGCCCGGGCCGTCCGGGCAACCAAGATGACCCGGGCAACCAAGATGACCCGGGCAACCAAGATGGCCCGGGAAACCAAGATGGCCCGTGAAACCAAGATGGCCCGGGAAACCAAGATGACCCGGGCGGTCCGGTTCCTGGTCCAGCCAAGCAATCATTTGTTTCAAGTTATTGTTTACCAAGCCGTCATCCTTAGCTTCGCCTGCCTTACATCTGTGTACATTCGTTTTTTTTCTGAAAACAATTCCAAAATTTCCAGATCTTTTGTCTTGTTTTTTTTGTTTCTTTTGCAGGGACCTTCCTTGGCCCTGGCCTGCCCGGGCCGCCGGGTAAACGAAGATGACCCAGGCGGCCCGATTCGTAGCCACCACCCAAGCAATCATTTGTCAAGTTATTGTCTTCCAGGCAACCATTTGCCAAGTCAATAGTTGTTTTGCCAAGCCGTCGTCCTTAGTTACGCCTGCCTTACATCTTTGTACATTGTTTTTTTTTTTTTTCTGAAAAAAATTCCGAAGTTGCATTTGTGCCCTGAAAAAAATTCGGAAGTTGCATTTGTGCTATTCTCTGTTAGATTTTCCGAACGGATGCACGTACTTTCATTCGTCTCCAATATTTAAAAATTTAAAGTAAAATGTTTGAGAAAACCAAAAATCATCGTCGTTTTTTTTTTGAATTTAAAATTCCAATCAATTTTTATTGTTTTTATTGAACAAATATAGTATATAGTAGGAACGTGGAAGTATTGTACAAAATTGATTCCGCGCAGGATGCTTGGAAGTATTGTACAATTTTTATTCAATTTCAATTTTTATTGAATAAATATAGTAGGATAGCCACACGCAGACGGATGTGGAGAACGCTTGCTGGACAATCACAACCTTCGCGGTCGTTTTCTTGTTGTCGTCATCCTCCATTCTTCTCCTTGTCTTTTTTTTTTTTTTTTNTTTTTTTTTTTTTTTTTTTTTTTTTTTTTCGTTTACTTGTTGTTGTTGTTTTTTGTTTTTCGCCCGGGCTTTTGGCCTCCTTTCGCGTCCGGTTCGCAAATGCGCTCGTGGTTGGTTGCTATGTGGTATTAATTATTGAATGGATTAAATAATGGTATTGTACGTTACAGTAAATATATTACGTAATGTATTTTTTCCATATGTAGTAGAAATGTTATCCCATTTATGGTCACAGCATATCTTGTATTAAGTGTTCAATATGATGATGGTCTAGGCTACCAGAGTGGCCCGGGACCACTCGCCCGGCAGGGCCAAAAAAAATAAAAAAATTAAAATAATGTTTTTCTGATTTTATTTTTCGTTCTAAATTTGGTAATGAATTTCGATGTGACCCTGAGGCGAAAGTTGTTCAGTTTATTTTCCTGCATAACATTTTTTTTTTTTTTTTTTTTTTTTTTGGCTGGGATTTATTGAGGTCCTTGCACGGCCAGGCAGCCCCCTCAAA